AACTTCTGCTCTACAACTGAGTTGTACCCTGCCCCCTCTCCTCCCTGCCCCAGGAGTTTAGTTCTGAATGCACCTGAGTAGATTGAAGGACTCTAACCCATCACTTCACTGTCCTTGTTGGAGAGCTGGTGGCTCCTCCTTCCCACGGTGCTAATACGTGAGCCCAGACCAGGAGGGAGTCTGTAAATTTGGTACACGTGTTGTCGTGGGAAAACTTAGCTGTTTGCATCCTGGGTATGAAGGACAGTCCTTCTTCATCGCAGAAATCTTCTCAGTATAAGTCATGTCAAATCTGGATGGTCTGACCCCCCCCCCCCCAAATACACACACATACACAGACACACACAGTAGGTACTTACCTAAATGTTTCCAGAAGTCTAATTGTCTTTGCTGTATGTTTTTCTCTTTTGTCTGCACAGTTATGTTTGTAACAGTTTACTCTGTTATACTACACTGATAGGGTGAAGCAGAAAGAGACCACGATAGCAAGAAAGTCAAACTGGAGAAGGACGTCAAATCACAGTCATCGTCTTCATCCTCCCACAAAGATTCTTCTAAATCAAAGTGAGTATAGAGATTAGGAATAGTCTAGAAAGCTGCTCAAATCTTCCTGGATCTTGACATGGCAAAAATATTTTTCTTCCACAGTAGAATGAGAAAATAATAAACCCCTTCGGACTCATTTTGTTATGTGTTACTTTCCTCCATGAGGACCTTAGAGGAATTGACAGTTGATTTGGCAGCAAACTTAGATTTATCAAAAGCACAAAAGACTTGGCAAAAACAAGTGAGTGGTGTCACCATGTAGGGGCCAACAGACTTGAGAGAGCCAGATGTGCAGGGTCAGAGAGCAGGTGGCACCCAGGCCTGCCTGCCTGTCAGAGAAAGGTGCAGGCTGGGCAGCAACTATTGCAGACCAGGTTGGGTAGGTCAGGGTAAGACTGTTGGCAGACTCTGCAGGCTTAGGGACAAATTACACGACTTCATTCATTACTCATAGTTACAACTAGATTTTCTGAAGGCATCAAAAAAGGACTCTGAAGCTGGACCTTTCTGTAAGAATGGATTTCATGCTCTGTGATACCTTAATCTTTTATGTCAACAGCCATTTTGTCCTTATCGCTCAACATCTGAATCAGCCAGTTCATGCTCTGCTTTAACCTAGTTTTGTATGGTGTTTCGTTCCAGAACTCCCAGGCCTTCCTCTGAGCCCTCAAAGAAGGAAATGCTTCCCCCTTCACTCGTGTCGTCCTCGTCCTCATCCTCATCCTCGTCCTCGTCTTCCCAGAAGCCAGCCAAGTCTGCCCCAAAGAGGCCACGGCAGGAAGCAGACTCCTGTGGGCAGGACGCTCCCAAAAGTGCCAGTAGTACCAAGGGCAACCACAAAGACACTTCTGTTTCCAAGCACAGAAAAGCAGAGGGGAAGGGCTCTGGAAGCTCTGCAGAGCACAGAGTAAGGCGGGGAGGCGGTGCTGTGCGGGCCGGAACGTAGAGGTGTAGCTTTACTCCAAACGCCCAGATGAGAGAAGTTGCTAGGGGTGGTTTATTTCAGAGCTGTCCATCACTTTTAACAAAGTAGTAAGGAGTTATTTTTGTTTTAAGATCTATTTTTTGAGGGGGAGGGTATAGCTCAGTGGTAGAGTGCATGCCTTGCATGCACAAGGTCCTGGGTTCAACCTCCAGTACCTCCATTAAAATAACGAAGTAAAAACCTAATTGCCTCCCCTGCCATAAAAAATAAAATAATAATTTTTTAAAAAATCTACTTTTTTGTATGGAGAGTAAAAGATAGTTAATATTACATGAAAATTTAGATGTCAGTTTATTCTTAAAGTGGTTCGGGGTGAAAAATCAGAATAGATTTTTGTGTTAATTTTCCATCAGGTATTTTGCAGTTAAAAAAAATCGTTTACCCTGGTTAGTTCTTGGTTTGGATGTTTGATTTCAAATACTTTCATTATTGGTTATAATGGGAAAAAATTTATCCACTTTCTCAAATGCAAATTCCTCTCTTGTTAAAGTGGGGTGGATGAGTGTGCGTGTACATGTGTGCTTGCGTGCGCGCGTGTTTTACCTAAGAGAAAATACTAGATTTGGCTTTGTTGATAATCTGTTCTCTAGGACATGCCCGTCTTATAGCTTTTTTTGTGTCCCAAATACGATCAAAAACTACAGTTTCAGTGGAATCTAGCTGAGAAAGCTCTTGGCCACGCTGAAGTGTGCAGTGTTTGATTTCCTCTTTTTTGAACTAGTATTTTGGGCTAATTTAGAGGGATGGTACATTTAGGTCAGTGATCTTAAATGTTAGAGTGTGATCTGTATAATGATTTCTTAAGGGATCTTCTGGAGATACTGCAAATCGTTTTCCAGTGCCTTCTTTGCCAAATGGTAACTCCAAACCAGGGAAGCCTCACATGAAGCTTGACAAGTAAGGCTTTGGATAGACGCTGCTGCTTCTCTCTCCTCCCGCTCCCTTCCCCCCGTCCTCCCTCCTCTCTGCCCTCCCTCTCCTCCCATCTTGGTCACCCTCTAGTCTTCTTAAGTCGTCTTGCCCCAGTCCAGTCATTTTAAGTTCCTTTGACTCACCCCTGATCTTCTCTTCTCTTTCAGACAGCAGGCAGATTTTCACATGAAGGAGGCCAAGAGGTTGAAGGACAAAGCAGAATTAATGGTCAGTCTTGACTCTTATTCTTGGGGATTCCGTATTGTCAAGCCTGGTGCAGGGTGGGAGGGGGGACTGCGGGGCTGGGCACTCCCACAGGAGCTGTGGGATCTGATGAGTTGAGGGTCAAGGGGTTCCTGGAGAATGAAATTACTTTTACTTCGTTGATTCAGGCTGATCATGGGCAGATGCACAAACTGCTAGTCACAAGTTTTATGTCTAGATGATTGAAAGTTGACCTGCCTGGTTAGTGTTTTATTTAATATACATGAGGGCTTCCTTGTCTCCCTGAATCAATTCCTTGGATGTGAAAAACAACTTTTCGCTTACTGAAAGCTTGTCAGTTTGTGTTTATCCTGAAACATTTCAAAAAGTGAGGTAGCCTGTTTGCATTCCAAAGTTATCTTAAAGCCCTTGAGAGACTAACAGTGAAGTTAGTCAGTAGACCAGTGCCATCAGATAGAACTTTAAGGTGAAGGTAATGATTGCACTGTTGGTAAACATACTTTAAAGAAGTGAACTCTCTTTAACTGGTGGCTGTTGGACTTTCTGGAAGGTGGTAGTTTATGTTAAAGCATACATAATTAAATATGCTTTTACTTCCCTGCTGCAGTATAATTAGATAAGGTTTGCCCTTTGTCATATTTAAACATCTAAGACACTGGGGCTTTTATTTACTTAGTGTATTCCCCAGACCTAAACCCCTGCAGGTATGTTGAAGTTTTTGCCACAGGAGAACGGTAGAGGCTGCCTTGATCCTGCCATGTGCACAGCTAACCACAGGGTCTGGAGGTCCACAGGGATTGAGTCAGATCCGTCCACAGTGGCCGTCAGACTCCCTGCCCAGTGTCCTTCAGCCCGACTCTGTAGACTCACATCTGTTCTCAGACTAGGGAGGGCTGGGCCGAGACACTTTTATCAGGTCCCCATTCATCAGAGTAAAATGTTGATTGAGTCCTTATCATGCTGGATGCTGTGAGGGGGACAGAGACAAATTAGACACTATGTCTAAAGTGACCCTGTGCCAGGATGACCTGAGTCACATTAAGCCTCCTGCAACCAGCCCCACGGTGGTGTCTTCCCAGCCTCTTCCTTTCACTTTCCACGGCTGTTGCTAGAACTACACGAATCTTTTGAGTTTTGAAAAAGCGCAAATATTCAGTAAACTAAAACTTGTCTTGGTCAGCCAGTGACCTAACACTTTTCTTGACACTGGACACTTTCAGCACTAGGTTTCCTCATTATTCAAACAAAATTAATACTGTGGGGAACTTCGTTCTGGCTTTGCTTTTAATCTGTACACATGTCCATCTTCTCCCTTCCTGTACCTGCTGCTTCCCATTCTAATAAGTAATACTAGCTCATTCCACTCTCAAAATATGCCAATTTGGACAGAAACCTGAATGGCCAGCCTCTTTGTCACATTCTCCTTTAGCTGTACAACGCCCCAAAGTTGTCCATCTTGCACTGCAAATAGTTAAGCGCATAACTGAACGTAGAGGAGTGTATTTCTCCTGTTCTTATTTTACCTACTGTTGAGTAAGGAAATTAGAACTCTAAGACCTTAACCCTGTCTCAGGAGATACATATTAACTTATTAACCTTACAAAATACTTAAGAAGGTAGACACTGGCCAATTGCTATACTATGGTTTTTTTTATTTCTACCCTAATGCCAATATGAATTTTAGACAGCCCATGAAAGGAGATGGTATTGAATGAGTAAGTTTGAAGAGTTAAATTCCCACCAGCAAAGCAAACCACTAAGGCCCTGTACTGTTGATTAATTGGGCATGCTGATTTGATTTTTATTCTGTCACTATTCTGAGCCTGGTTTGTCTAGAAGACATATTTTTAAATCAAGTTATGTTTAAAAATTAAAACTAGCAGCCCTAAGCCGTCTTTCTTCGCTAACATGCAACCATCTCCTTATACTCCACTTGCACCTTTCCTGTTTTCATTCTTTCTTTTTGAACGTGTCAAATGAGAGGTGTCAGCAGAAACCTCAGCCTTGCGAATGCCGTGTTGATCAGTTGCTCTTACCGCGTGTGGTGCACGTGCCGAGTGGAGGCGTGCTGGGTGAGCTGAATGCCACCAAGTGAGAAGAGCGTTAAGTAACAAACTGTGTATTCAGGTTTTGGTAATCACCAACATCTGATTTCATTCAAATTTCTACTTTCTCATTAAGGGACTCTGAACTTTTACCCCTGTTAGCCCAGGGGATAGCCTTGTGCCCTGAACCCAGACTTCCCAAGGAGATGATCTGCTGGGCTCTCAAATACATAAAAAGATTGTTGTTCAATATGACATCTAAGATGCTTAAACCATAATATTTTCTCCTTATTGTAAGATAAACTTCAGCCCATACAAAGAAACTGTGTCTGCATTATTCACACAATGTGTAGAATAATCTGTTTCACAGGAAAATTACATAATGAGTAATTGCATGCTAGTAACACGAGGACATTTTCAGCAGGTCAGAGGTGACGGGCTTCAGTTACCATTTTGCGTGTTTGCTCTCACACTTCTCTCTAGCCACAATTAAAGTCAGACGGTGGAGGGGAGTTACTGTAAAGAATGTGTGTGAGAAACTAGAAGTCTGTTTTAGGCTTAACAATGACTGTGTTCTTCGCCCACAGACGGACAAGGTTGGGAAGGCGTTTAAGTACCTGGAAGCCGCCTTGTCCTTCATTGAGTGTGGGATTGCCATGGAGTCGGAGGGCCCAGCGTCCAGGTCAGCTTACTCCATCTACTCTGAAACCGTAGACCTCATTAAGTAAGTGCCCAGTCATTTTGCCTTCCTCTTAAGTGCTTCTGTCCTCACCTTTATTGCTTTAATCCTTTTGAACTTTAGTAGGAAGACAGCTTAACAAAGGGGAGCCTTTAAAAAGTTACTGATCCAGGAAATTTTTTTTTTTTATTGTAAAGTTAAATGTATTCTAGGCGAAGTGCTGGAACAGAGTAACTGGGTCTGGCTACCTTGTTTTGCCAAGTGCACAGTGAGATGCCAAACCCTTCAGGGAGAGGGTTGGTTTTTCCAGTTTGGCTTTCTGATCAGGTGCTTTCTCGTCTCGGTTGAAACTCTCCTTGTTTATTACCTGCACGTCAGCTGGGGGCTCTGTAAGGGCACAGGCTGCTGCTTGGTTTCAAGCAGGTGCACAGGTCAGAGAAGAGGCGTGTCTTCGCCTGATTTTCTGAATGGCTTGAGTCGTTGCTCTAAAGCCTCATTTTCCCTCTGGGTTGCTGTCATGCCTTCACATCTTCAGGAAAAATCAATACAAAACCAAGACAAACATAATAAGGTGTCTCTGTGTCTGGGGTTTTCTTGATGCCTTTTTTTAACCTGATATAATTTTATATTTTCCTGTAGGTTCATAATGTCATTAAAATCCTTCTCAGATGCCACGACACCAACACAAGAGAAAATATTTGCTGTTTTATGGTGTGTACTTTCCCCCTTTATCTGAATAGTATTACAGTTGCTTTTGCATCTTTCGATATTACAAAGAGATTCTGGTATATGTTTTCTTAAAGTGAAAATTATCATGAAAGGCAGGTCAATACCAGAAAGTGGCAGGATGTATGGCCAAGGGGTTAATCCCACTGATAATTAATTATTGTGAAACGGCGTCTACTGCCATGTTACTGATGACTCAGGACCTTTAGGCTTGTGACTTCAATTATATTTGTATATATTTGTGTTTTTTCACCAATATTTACTCTGATGATAATGTGAACGGTGCAGTGAGAGTCTTGAGATCCTCTTGCTCGGGTTGATGGTGAAAAGCCCAGTGTGCTCGCTGGGGTGGAAGGAGTCAAGCCTGCCTTCCTGTAGTACAGATGCTCGTGTCTGCGTGGTCATACTTCACTTCACCTTGTTTTATGTTCATAGCATGCGTTGCCAGTCCATTTTGAACATGGCCATGTTCCGTTGTAAAAAAGATATAGCAATAAAGTATTCCCGCACTCTCAACGAACACTTCTTCAAGACTTCCTCCAAAGTCACTCAGGCACCTTCTCCATGTGTTGCAAGGTAATGATCAGTCTAATTTAAATAACTTCCCAAATGATGTCTTTCTTTTTTACCTTTTGCTGTGACTTAAGCTTTTCAAAAAATTATATGTATCTATGTGCTGATTTGCTCCTTCAGCTTAAATCACTGGCATGTTTCTGCCTTTTTGAGGAATAATTGTAAATCAAGGTGTTTGCTGGTTGGGCAACATAAAATGATACTTGCAAAGAATACAGAGTTCAAACTTTAGAGCTCTGAGGGGGAGGATATGTGGAAGTGCCTAACAGCACAGAACAGACAGAGCCAGCAGGACCAGAGCCACAGTCCTTCTTCTCCACAACAGATTGTCTGGGTATTTCAGTAAACAAGCACTGTCCTGAACCACATGCCTTCCACCTTCTCCAGGGTCTGTAGCAGCGACGTTAGAATGAGAACAGTTAGGTCTGGCTCAGTTCTTTCCCCCACTTTGTGAACTGAAGTTGCTCACATATTCCATAAGATACTGAAAAACCAGAGTCCTTCTGTGGGTGTTTTTAAGATGAAGATAGAATTTTCTTTTTAGTACTTGCCTAGGGGTTGTGTGTGTGTGTGTGTGTGTGTGTGTGTGTGTGTGTGTGTTA